GATGTTTATTTCATGCCCATCAATATCAGCCTGTATTAGGACAGATGAGGTGGTTATTTACAGGCTGTGCATTTTCACACTTGGTAATTATAAACCCTCCCCCTGTTCGGTCAGAGTCGTAGAGATCTATTTTGGCAATTAGCAATTTAGTATTTGTTTAATGGGAATGCAAGAGAGTGTTACGGCACATCAGCGCTCCACTAATGATTCGCCTGTCTCCTCTGGAGCTGGCAGGTTTGGGCCTTTTTCATGGTAGGTAAGGCCTGATGGAGAGAGGCTGGAGGGGGAAGAAAGGAGCATTTGGCAGCCTGTGCACACACTTGCATGCATGCATGTATGCATGCACGCATGTACACATGCATGCACACATGTGCTCACAACCAGTGCTGTAAACAGGCCATGGGTTTCCAGAGCATAGCAGCCGCCACTCGAAGACGCCTCACACAATCGGCCGTTAGGCCAGATGCCATTTCCGTGTGACAGCTGTCAAGCCTGCTGGAACCAACTGCTTCTCCTCCCTCAGTTGGTGCCCAGTCCCCTCTCTTGGGGTTCTGGGCTTTGCCAGCTCAGACAGAAGGGAGCCCCTACCCCCCTGCCATACATTGCCCAGGCAGACTCTCACTTTCCTTGCTCAGTTTTGAGGTGTGACCTCCTGGGACTGCTCCCACAAGGATGAGTTGGTTCTGCTAGTGGCTGTCCCTTGGTATGACTCATATGCAGTGGGAACATGAACTGTACTGGGTGTGGCTCCCTGCTCAACTGCATAGATTGTGTGCGTGCACATATATCTGTGCATGTGCTGCTGAGCTGGCTCTGAGCTCTGAGAGGGCATTGTCTGTATTTTGTGCCTTGAGCACTCACTAGCCACCACAAGCTAGAGATTCCAGAGAGGGAACACACTCACACCCTCAGTATTTCTGCCCAGAGGGGCTTGCAGGAGCCAAGCCCTGGACAGTCCTGGGACCTCTCTGCTAGTTCCAGCTCTGCCGCCGGCTTGCTCTGTGACCACGGAGTGGCCATGTGACCTCTGGGCTTTTAGAGTTCACCTTCCTAAAAGGAAACAGCCCCCTCTGCCTTTCACTTTGCCTTTCTAGTCTGAACCTATCACTCTCTCCTTTGTAATCCCATCACCTCTCTTAACTTTTTGATAGAGTTTTAAGACAGTGTTTGTTGGTTAATTGATTCATTTAGGAGACGATGACACTGTGACCAAACAAAAAACAACAGCGGTTTGGCTTCCTGGCACAGCAAAAGCAGAACTTGTGAGGCAGGTGCTGGTGCAGAAGGAAAGAGGCTTTCTTCAGGAGCCACACGACCTGGAAGGGCAGGTTCCTGTCTTAAAGACCACTCTCTCTTCCTGCCCAAGCCCACCACTCTAACGGGGCTAGGGATGGCTTTATTTCTACTCAATTACCTTTCTAGCTTTGGCACACTCAGTGCAGGACCCTCCTTTTGAGCCATCTTGGCCAAAGGGAGAGACTCCCCCAAGCTTCAACTGACTATCTACAGCAAGCATGTCAAACTCACGGCTGGCGGGCCGCTTGCCTCCTTTCCTTAAATGAGGCATGTGGCCCGCTGGCCAAGAGTTTGATGTACTTGATCTAGAGTAATAGTACTATGCTAAGCTCTAGGGATTCAAAAAAGTAGGACAGTTAAGGGAGACCAGTAGAAAGATGGAAGGACTTATCTGGTTTTAAATCTCAACCCTACCAGGTACTGCATGTCCTAAGTAAGTCAACTGCAGTGAACCACACTTTTCTCACCTACGCAGAGTGGGCAAAAGTACGTTTGCAGTTGGAATGGAAATTATGCAATAACCCTATATAATGAGGTAATATGCAAATGGTTGTTATGCCGTGACAGTAATGACCTCTCAGCAAGAGAGTGGGGCAGCAAGCTAAGAGCAGTGAGCTACAAGCAGCAGAGAACTACAAATGGCGGTGGGCAGGGCCCGCTGAGGCAAGTGGCAGCGAGCTACTTGCGTACAGATTTGTGTGCAGAGCCGCTAGTTAATAAATAATGATACAAGAATAAACTCTGTGTTTCATGTACTCGCAGCTATAAACCTACTTTTGCCCCACCCTGTACAAGGATGTGATAATATCTACCTCGGAGCTATTGTGATAATTAAATGAGCTTTTTGCAAATTGCCTATTAAGCTCCAGTGAGTGGTAGCTATTATAATCATTTTAGGGGTTCGAGCATTTCATAACTTAGAGTCTGACATTTGCTTGTGGACTCAGGATCTCTGAGCAGGAGGCTTTGCCCTCTGAATCAACAGGATAAAAAGTTTAGATACCCCCAACCTCTCAGATCCCCTGGACAAGTGTCCACTTGTCAACTCTTAACTGCTGACTGGTGAAAACAGGGGTTTATTTGTTTAAGTTAAATAGGGTAAAGAAATGACCCCACAAAAAAAAATTTTTTTTAAGTAAAAGTAGGAAAAGAAAAAAAAAATAGGGCTAGTAAAGAAGAGTCTTGCCCATGGGGGCTTTCTGGCCTTCTGTGAAGAGTTTAAGAAAATATACTTAGCGCTCCAAACTGTATACTAAAGAAAGGTAATATTTGTTATATGTATTTTACTACACTAAAAGGGGAGCTTAGGAAAAGAGACGGAGTGGACTGTTTCTCTTGTTATTCAATTAAAGGCATGGGCATGAGTTAAAATAAGATGCACTTCCAGGTGGATGCAAACTAGAAGTTTTTGAATAAAACAACAAAGTGCCTAACCGTCAGCTTTGAGGGTGGCTCCGTGCTGCAGTCTCCCTGTGGTCGATACACAGAGATGGGGCAGTTGGGCAAGGGCTGGCCAGGGGAGATTTGGACTGAGGACCAGCAGCTGAGTCCTGGGCCCAGCCCCTGCCAGCTCTAGTGAGGAATCTGAGGCTCAAAGAACAAGAACCTGGGGTTGTTGGGAGGACCAAAATGATAATAATATGTGAAAGTATTCGTGGTGGTGAGAGGGAAGCACCGAGTCTGTTTTGTCTTCTTAAAATCCTATATTCAGCTTCTGAGCTTCTTCCAGAACAGAACTTTGATTCTTTTATCCTAAATCCAAGACGAGGTGAGGCGAGTCCCCTGAAAGCAGCATGTGGCAAAGAGCCTTGCTGTTCCTGACTTCCAGCAGGGGATAAAGAGCCCGTCTGTAGGCAGCCGAAGGCCCACATAACACCCTTCTATTCAGGGCCCATCTTCACATATACCTGCTGGGTAAAGGCTCAGCTCAGCCGTATTCAGCCATTGAGAACAGGGGTTCTCAGCCTGGGCTGCACCCTGGAATCACGGGCTCCCCACTCCAGAGTGCTGTCTAACAGGTGGGGTGGAGCCTCGGCAGCAGGGCTATTAAAAGTTCCTCAGTGATCCTGGTGAGCAGTCCAGCTCGACAACCACTTATCTAGACTTCAGTGTGAGCTGATGGGATTTCCCTGCGGCTTCCTGTTCTCCTCCATTCTTCCCATTGGGCGGTGATTACAGAGACCAACCTCACGCTATGGTGGCTGCAGCTTACTGACCAGTCTCATTTCTATAAACTAGACACCATTTCTGGACGTCGGGGCAGGTGTGCTCTGTTTCTGTCCGGTCTGGTTGGGGAGAAGTGGAGAACAGCGCCATCCTAGCCTGAGGCAGTCTGGGGGTGAGGCCGGCTCTGTGTCCCGCACGGACGCCAGCTCCTTCGTCCTGGGCAGGCGGCCTCCTCCATACAAGTCTCCACTCTTGCGAGTTTAGTGCCTTGAGTTTATGGAGCATAACGCGGCCTGTGAAGTCCCACGCTATAGGATTGTGGTATTACATTTACAGGCATTTATTTAAACTAACACTTGAAGCGTTTGCGTGGGAGCAGGAAGCGAAATTCAAGGGCATTTGTTCTGGGGGAGTTTGAAGAGCCACATTTCTTTCTTTCTTTCTTTCTTTTTTTTTTCCCTTCCCTCTCCCTCCTCGCATCTGGCCAGATAATTTAAGGATCATTTGAAGTGCCATTTCCTGCTGGGTTCTTGATATGTATGGTGTGTGGGTGTCTGTATTTGTATCCCAAGAGGCGTAGGAAATTTCTCAGGGTGTGCTGGCCGCAGCAGAGCTCTGGGGACACCCTCACAGAGGGTGTTTGCGGAGGACTGGTGATGAATTTCACGCACCCAGATGTCCCAGCAGGCTCTGCGGTCCGTGTTAGCATTCTGGGTAGAGGGTCTCTGCGAATGAATCTCAGGTGACCACCTCATACAGTTCCCTCTGTTCACAGATGAGAACCTGAAAGACAGAGACGGGAGGTGACTTGTCCTCAGTGAGATCCGTGGAGATGGAAGTAGATCCTGGGTCCTGCCCACGGCTTAGTGCACCCCGCCCGGCACTGTCGCTCCGCTGCCTCCCGGGACCTGCTGAGTTATTACCAGCAACTCCCCCATTTTGCCACCTCCTAGGAATAAGTTTTCTTTGTTCCCGAATCAGCGTCTTTGACTTACCATGTCGTTGGAGCCAAAACCGCAGGCAGGAGAAGCAATGGTCTGGGGGTACATTCTAGGGTCCCAGCCTTTTGGCCATCCAAATTGACAAACGGAAGTTTTGATCTCTCCTTTCGGGAACTTCGTTGCTTTGTGACTTGAAAGGTTTCCTCTTCAGTTAGCACAGGAGCTGGCTACAGTCGCACCTCTGGATGCGGTCAGCACCATCTGGCTGCTCCTAAATCACCCAGCAATAATGTCTGGTTCACAATAAATCTTTGGACTCATTATAGAGAGGGGTTGCTCATTCATTAAATGAATTAGGATTAGAGAGGCATCACCCACTGACTTGAGTGCTAATTATTGCTGATTTTCATGGTGCTCATTTAGTGAGGAGCATGTTGCCAATTTCTCCCGGTGCTTCTGGGATCTCAGCCTCCACGCTGGCCGCCGGGGTGAGATTTAGGAGCGGTCCCTGCACACCCTAATACCTGTATTCCACTCGCTCTGTGAAACCTGAGCGTTTATGACTCAGCCCACTTTCTGCATTTTATCTCCTGCCACCTCTTCTCTGGCCTTTGTTCATTGTCTAGAATTATTGAAACTGCCTGTGTATCTTAAAAACATTTTTTTTAGAACAGGGGCCATGTTCAAGTCACCAGTTGCTATACTTGTGCTGTGTAACAAACAGCCTCAAAAACCTCAGCAGCAGACCGTAGCTGTTTATTTCACGTGTCTAGAGTCCATGGGGAGTGGTTCTCCTGACCGTGGCTGGGCTTGCTTGCACATTTTTGGGTTGACTAGCTGTCAGCGAGGCCGGCCTCAAGCTGGGGCAACTGAGGGGACCTGGTTCTGCTCCACGTGTCTCTCGCCCTCCAGCGGGCCAGCCTGGGCACGCCCTTCTCATGGGGATGGCGGAGGTGCAAGAGAGAGCAAGCCGAAACAGGCAGACCCTCTGAAGGCTGGGAATACCATTCTCTCCACCTCACTTTATTGACCATAACAAGTCGAGTTCAGATCCATGGGATAAGGAGATAGACTCTGCTTCTTTGGGGAGAGGAACTGCAAAATTACAGGGTAAAGGGTGTGAAGCCGTTAGCGCAATCCCTCCACCCGGGACCCATATAATTTGCCTCTTCTTTGTACTTGGGCTGAAGCTCTGCAAACAGTGAGTGCCTAATAACTATCCGATGCATGAAATTAATAAGTAAAGTTAACATTAGCTAGGTTTTCTAATCCAGGTTGAGTTGGCTGAGTGATGCAGACACTCGCTGGTTTATCTGTTAGAAGGGTCCTGGTGGATTCCGAATTTTTCCTGCATTGGTTGCCAAGAAGTCCCTCTTCTTGTTTTCTTTCCCATCGTCATTTTCAGGATTGTAGACTATAAACATCCAAGAGACAAAGGGGTACAAAGGGAAGAGCTACTGCCAGACTGAAGTGCATCTCTTGCTCCCGGAAGAGAAATTTGTTTCCTGTATTGAGCGCCGAGTGTATGCAAAGAGGAGGAGCGGCTCTGCCCAGTGTCTTTGACCTTTGCTCTGGTCTCTCATCCCTAGAGTAGCACCCAGAAAGTGGTCCACAGGCCAGGCAAGACATCAGCACTGCCGGGGGCTTGTTAGAAATACAAAAGCTCTCAGCGGAATCAGACGCGCTGGGGGTCCGTGTTTTCACAAACCCTCCAGGCAATTCTGAGGTGGATGGAGTTTGAGAAATCCTGCCCCAACCCCGGGGCCATAGAGCTCACATTACAGCTCCCGCTGTTGACCCTCGGGTGTTGTGAGTGCATGGTGCACACCTCGGAGGATGTGACAGAAATACATGTCCAGGACACCCTGGTGTTCAGACAAAGCTGGCTGTCCTCAGACATCTCACATCCAACTTACTTTCTCCTGCTTTGTCGTTTGCTTAGATGCACCACCTAGAATGTCAGGGCTGTGTTTCCAACCTGCCTTACGTTATCAGAAGGCACATCTCAAGGTCGGAACAAGTTTCTTCTCTCAAAACAGACTGGGCAGGTGCCAGGATGTGGGACAAAATATGCTGAGGTTCAGATACCTCCTCTCCTTCTCGCTCTCTCCAGGGATCCAGGGCCCCCATCTTTAGTACAAAGAAACCCATAAGGCAGGGGAGGGCACTGTCAACCCACAAGAAATCGCAGTGCTGACCTTGAGAAGGAGAGTGGTAGCCCTTGAGGATGCATTTCACAAGGGTAAGGGTTAGTGACCTGAGGTCAGAAGAACCTGTGTCCAGCCCCACACGGCTCTGTGTTCCTCCAGCACCTGAAATGCCTGGTCTGCTGCTGAAGTGTGTGTGTGTGAGAGAGAGAGAGAGAGAGAGAGAGAGAGAGAGAGAGAGAGAGAGACAGACAAACAGACAGACAGACAAAGACATCAGACGCTCAGAGGTATCAGCTTGCTGGCTCCTGGATTGGATACCAGTTACCTTGACTGTGCCCCCATCCCCCAGGACTGAGGAGAAGCACACAAGCACTTCTGTTTGATTCACACAGAACCGTGAGAACGGCCCCGTGTGTGAGGCCGTGCTTTTCACTCTATTCAGTCAGTCTTTGTATATTCAAATTCTTCCCGTTTCAGCTCTTGCTGTTCTGCCAGATTTCCATCGCATTGATGGCTTCTCTGAATTAATGTGTTTTGCAATCGCTGAAAAGTTTTCTCTCCCCCAAGCACCGGGGCTTATCCAGATGGGTTTTAACCCCCTTTCTCTTTCCTCTCTAGCTATTTCTTAGATGTTGTATTTTGTAAAGTGTTAATAGAATTTTTCTCTCGCCCTGACACTTTATCTATTCAGGCGTCTTTGCCAGTCCCATTGTCCAGCTGGACTACAGAGGAGAGAGCTCTATTCGTTCCAACAATGGTTGCCCTAAAAAATGTGCACAGCTCCTCCCCCTTGCTCACCAGGCTGAGCGAGCGTTGGAGGGCAGCATCAGAAAATGCCCAGACTTAGAAAGAAAAAAAGAGGGAGCCAATTACGTACTGTTTGAAAAGGAGGTTTGAAAATATATTATTGTAAAAATTCAAAATATTTATTCCCTAAGGGGATCTGAGTTGCAGTACCAAAACATGGCCAACATAGAAGGAAGGCTGTTTTTCTTACTGTTAGGCATTTTTAGCTCAAAATAAGGACTTGGCAAACATCTTAGAAAATACGGAGATGGGTGGGAAACAGATGTCACGTTTACCTGCGTGATACCCAGCAGTCCCCTCCCCCCTTCTCTTTTCTCCCCCCACCTCGCACCCGCACCCCAGGCTTTGGAATTCTAATGGAGGCCCAGGGTCTGAATCTGCAACACCATATGCTCAAGTGTGACTACTCTGTGTACAAACAAACCAGTTGGTCTTCTGGTGGTTTTGCTTGAGTGGTGCTCGGGAGGCAGACACTGTGTTGTGTGTGGCCTCAGCAGGCGCCTGGGAGGCTTACCGAGTCTCCAGCTAGCACCCCCTACCCCCTACCCCCATCGGCCTGATGCCCAGAGAGAGAGGGCAGCTCCCTGCTGGAGGAGCACTCCCCACGAAAGGCCATTTTCCTCCCAGTGACTGACTTCAGAAATGGGGACCAGAAGGAGAAGGCCCCAGGAGCCTGTTTGTGCAGGCTCGGTTGCTTAGCAACAAAACGGGGCCCTGACTCCAGAAGAGATTTTTAAGTGAGGCCAGTCCCTCCGAGGTTTGTGCCTGGCTTGCCTACCCCCCTCTTCCATTCTTACCCTGACTTTGCTTTTTCCCCTATTATATTTGATAGCGTCTGGAAAAATGGATTTGATTTGTCTGGAGGCACCATTTTAAACCTGGTTTTATTGCTTTACCCAGTGTCTCTCCCCCCTCTCCCCCCATCGGAGACTGTAGTCTGGGAGGAGTAAGGAATGAATAACCTGTAATTTCTTTTCTCAGCCAGCTTAGCTCAGGCCCAAGCCCATTTGTGAGCCTTTGCGCTCCTGTGGACAGTGCTCAGTCCCTTCTAACCACAGGCACACACGGAAGTCGCTCCAGGCTCAGAGCCCGCTGCCCAACACGTGGTTGTGCTAAGTGGAAAGACTAAAAGACAAGTGATCTTTTTTTTTCTGAGTTTCTGTATTTCCAAACAGTGTTTAGTGAGCAGCTAGGACTTCTATCATGGAACCCACCCCCCTATAGAATGTTTTGTGTATTTTGTTAAAATTCCTAAAACAGCTCTATTCCGTGTGTGTTTTGCAGGTGGAGGATGCAATGCTGATGTTCGATAAGACCACCAACAGGCACAGAGGTAAGACCCCCAGGCTGTGAAGGTTGCCCCTCGCACCTCAGTCCCACAGACAGAAGGTGCGCGGACTGTTCAGAGTGAAGCAGATGGGCTTGACCACCTGTTGAAGATCAGTATGAATGGAGGGCGACAAAGAGGCCGGACACTAGACAGTCCAGACAACCGGCTCCTTCTGGCTCGGGCGCTGTCACTGCGTCGTGCAGCCGCACCCAGCATCGTTCAGACACCCCCCTCTCAGCCTGGCTTGCTCAGTCCTCGCGGAACCTCAGCTCCGAGCGATCCTAGTGGAAATCATTCACAGTAATTACTCAATTGAGTTTCCAATTTGCATTGGAGGAGGTGGTTTAGAGCACACTGTCAATCTAGAGAGCCAAAAAAGAGAGGAGAGCCTTGCAGGCTGGTGCCCTGTGCCTCGGGAGCAGCGTCTGGAGTGCAGCTGCGTTTGCACTTCCTCTTGTGCTCTCACTGCCCCACCCACGTCTCAGGAAGCGGGTCTCCACCTGGGCTCTGTGAGCCTGGGAACCACACACAGAATGCTTGGTGTTTGCGCTTTTCTTTGGGAGAGTACCCCCCCCCCCCCCCCCCGCCAAACTTTGGACAGATTCTCAAAAGGGTCTCTGATCTCCATTTCCCCCAAAAGAACATGAGCTAAAAAATCCACCCCAGAGGAAGTAGGGTCAAAGGTTATGGTTCAGCGTTCTGTTCTGGTGTGTGTTTGGGGGGGGGGGGTGAGGGGGGGGAAGGGAAGGTGGTGTTCTATTAATAGGGCAAGATTCCTATTAATGGGGCATTAATGAGCAGAGCTTCCGAAGGGGCGATGGCAGGAAGCAGGAAGCGGAGCTCTTGAGAGGAGCTGGAGTGAGTGAGCGGTGTTTCCTTGCCACTCGGATTGCATTTAGATGTTTCTTGTGTTGTTTACACTCTTGCTGTCACCTGTGATTAGAAGCAGTTACCCAGCTCTGACGGTCTGTCTCCTGTTCCGAGCAGGCAGGCTGAGTGAAAGGGAGGAAGGAGTGGGAATCGTCGCAGGCAGGGGCGGGAGCAGGCGACGGTGTCCTGAGTGCACCGGGTTGTCGGCCTCTCATGCATCATCCGCAGCGACCCGAAAAGGGAGAAAGGAAAATTGGGCAGAAAACTGGGGTGTCAGCGGCATGTATGCTGGGAAGAACTGGGGAGGAGTGGAGGATGAGGAGTAAGGGGAGGCAAGGAGAGAAAAGAAGAGCTTACAGGTGAAAATGTCTGCCTCTGTCCCCTGCATTGCTCAGGAGTGAGAGCCAGAGAGGGACAGCGATGAGCAGGGCAGTTATCCTGCAGCAGCATCCACGCTGCATCTGTCTGTGTGGCGTCCATGTGCATTGTCTCTCTACATCCTCACAGCAGCCACAGGCGGGTGGCTGCGATGTTGGGAAAGTCACTTAACCTCTTCATGCCTCAGTTTACTCATCTGTAAAATGGGGATGATACTAGTACTTCCTAAGGTATTGTTCATTGTCAACTGTGCCTAAATGTTAGCTCTTATTATATTATCATCATCTCCATTTTGTTGAGATAACCAAAGCTCAGAGGGGGCAACTGCCACTCCCAAGGTAAGAGCAGGCACTCACAGCTGCTTTCAAATTCCTCTCTTTCGCCCTAACCGTTTGGCTCAGTGGACAGAGCATCGGCCTGCAGACTCAAGAGTCCCAGGTTCGATTCCGGTCAAGGGCATGTACCTTGGTTGCGGACACATTCCCAGTAGGGGGTGTGCAGGAGGCAGCTGATCAATCTCTCTCTCTCATCAATGTTTCTAACTCTCTATCTCTCTCCCTTCCTCTCTGTAAAAAAAAAAATCAATAAAATATATTAAAAACAAAACAAAACAAAAAAACACACACAAATTCCCCTCTTTCTCTGTTGTCTCCACATGGGGATGGGTTTGTTAAGAATGCGTTTATGTGTTTACATCCAGGGTGGGCGAGGCCCCTCTGCACATGGCACTGTCTAATGTTGAGCGTTAGAATCTGTCATCCTGGAAGATTCCCCAGCGGCTTCCAGGCGGTATTGTTGTCATTCTTCTTTGAATGTCAATGAATGAAAAGGTATTTTTAATCTTTGGGTCAGGCCCTGGGCTGGAGGAGATGATCAGTCCTCTCATCTCACCCTCAAAGATGTGCAGGGAAAGAGGTTTGTCCTCTGGGGAGTTCGGGGACTCTCAGTGGCCAGGAACTCAGGACATCGGGCTCCTGGGAGCCAGGAAATGCTCTCTCTTACTTCTGACTCCTGCTGCGGGCATCCCTGGGTGCAGCGATGGGGCAGCAGCTCCCCAGTGACTGGGTGAGGGAGGCGTTCCCTGTTGTGCAGTGGAGGAAGCCCCATTCTATGGCCCAGTGCTCAGAGCAGGTCCTCCCAAGTCAGACTTCTGGTGGGCATGGCGGGTAGGGGGTGGGCAGAGACCCTGGAGCGTGCATAGGCCTGCCTGGCCTCCTCCTGCCCTGCCAGAGCTTCCAATTCCCGTGGGCGATGCAAGCCCCTTTCCATCGCTGTTGGAGCCAGAACAAAATGACAGGCGGGGTGTCTTAATCAACAATTACTAAGAATTTCAAGATGACAGCAGAGCATTCAGCCCCAAATGGAGCCCTTCTGAGCAGGGGCCCTGTGTGTGAACGCACAGATCGCCCACCCATGAATGCATCGCCGGGGCCCAGCCTGATGCTGCTGGGGCGGGAGAGGAGAGGCAGGAGGGGAGGAGTGCCTAGAAGTTTCACCAGGAAGGCCCTGACACGCTGCGGAAGCCTGCTCCCCAGTTCCTCTGGGTCGGGGGGGAGCTTGGCCCCTGCACCTTACCCAGCCCCTTAGCAGCTGAGGAGGAGTTTCTCCTTGAACTGAGGGCTGAAGCTGGGGCGCTCCTTCAGTGATTCAGAGCAGTTAGGGGAGGAAAGAAAACAGATTATGTGTATAGAGCCAGGGGGCCCCAACCCGGGCCTGATGGGATGTGCGCTTGGAATCGGGTGATAAGCACAAGAAAATAAAATCCTCTGCAGCCACCTTGCCCAACCTTCCCTTCACCTCCTCAGCTTCCCGGTTGCCGCGATCTTATCAAGTGGAAAATGCTGCAGCAGCAAACACCGAGGACACCTCCCAGACTGGTGCTGCCTCAAGCTGGCTTCTTAAAGAGCCCGGCCTTGAGTCTCTCTGACCGTCCCGTCCCCGCACTGGCTCAGCCCACGCCCAACTCCTAACCGGACCTGCCGGGCTGCCTGGGGCATTGGCTCGTCCTGCACCCCAGGCATTCTAAAAACCTGTGTCCTTGGAGCTGTGGCAGCTGCTGCCAGGGAAAACTACCAAGGCCTGGGTGCGGCCTTGGTCAAGTGCAGCCGGCCACACTGCCATTGTGAGGCAGAGGTCATGGCAGAATCTCCCCTCCTCGCCCCACAGTGGCCTCCTTCCGCCCCCGTTCCCTATTGGTCCTTTAGAAATGAAGGTGGCCCTCGGTTACAACTGCACTGCAGTTTCTTCTGTTCCCATCCCATCTGCACTGGGACCTGCTGGCACCGTGGGAAAGGAGTCGGGACAGGAGACGGTGAGCCACCAGATGTGAGTCCTCTGCCCCGGAACAGGAAGAAGCTGGAGCAGCAGCTGGCTCACGCGGCTCACTGCCCCTTGGTTGTCGTGGGGGAGCACCTCAGGCTTCTGCTCTGGAAGCCTGGGAGCTGGGGTGGAGGAGCTCAGGACCGACATATGCTTCCAGCTTTTAGCTTTCTTATCTGAGAGACTGTCCAAGATAAATTCCTTTTTCTATTTTTATTTTCTTCCCTAGGGGCGGGAGGTGAGCAGGTGCAGGCTGTTCCCCCCAGAGGAGGATTAGCAGCAGGAGTGTCCCTGGTGAGCAGCAGGCAGGGGGCGGAGCCCACCTGGGATGCTCTGGGGAATTCCCAAGGCAACTGTCCCCAGCTGGGGTGAGGGCGGGCTTTGTACCTGCATGTTCATCAGGCGTTGGATGCAGGCCACCCAGGTAAAGATGTGACCTTGGGCTTATCCTGAGGAAATCCGGGAGGGGCAGACGGCCGGGGCCTTCCTCCAGCAATGGGTGCTGAAGGGGGAACTGGGTCCCCTCCAGCACACACCGTGTGGTGTGGCGGGTTCTAAGTTAACTAGGCCATGTCAAACAGTAGCACTTCCTGAGCTCCGAGGCACCAAGTACTCAGCACAGTGCCTGCACGCACTGTGGAGTCTCTGTGACAGTCGTAGGTGACCCCACTCTGGTCGGATGGAAGCCCAGCACCGTGCTAGGCAATGGTTTAAGCAGGGGAGTTGCTGATTTTAAGGACTCGAGCACCTTCTCTTTACTAGTTCTTCTTCTCACCTACTCTTCTTTGTGGACTACAGCACACCTCCATTTCCAGATGGAGAAACTGAGGCACATAAAGTTCTGGATTGCCCAATAGGTTCTTATAGCCGGGCGGGAGCCGAGCCACTGGTAGAAGCTGGGGCCTTCCTCGGCCTCGCCCACCACCTTATATCCTGGCTCCCCTGGGACTCTTTCAGATTTCTCAGTCATTTCATTTGCTCTCTAGAAGTTATTGGAAGTGGTCTGGGAAATATTGGGCTGATCATCATAGGATTTAATCATGGGGGGAAGTTGGTTGCTTTATCCTTGCAAAACTCAGATAAGATCGTGAATTCAGCATTGGTATTGATCCCAGAGTGGAGCTGGCGGGACGGGCCTGGGAGGGAAGAAGCCACAAGCTGCTGTCCTTTCCAGTTCCCTTCGGTTGGCAGAGACGGAGAGGTTGAGCCCAGAGGGAGGAAGGGCTGTGGTTCAGGGCTCTCGCCCCACGTCAGCCTTGTTTGAGAACGTGGGGTGTGGAGAAGCCGGCTGCTGAAATAACATCTCACACTCACCTCCTTGGGGGGTAAGGGAGCCCCCTCCAGGGGCATCATTCCAGGGGAGCCTCGGCTGTCCCTCCCCTGACCCCAGGGCCCGGGGACCATGAACCCCGCACCGCTGAGTGCCTCTATGTCTGGCTCATCAGGGGAGGCCCTGGGTGGTCGGGGGCCCATCAGAAAATGAGCTTGTGTCTCTGAAGCTTATCGGGTGCCTGGCGAGGGTCAGCTGGAGAGGGAGTGAGGACAGAAGGGTCGCGGCTTCTCCCTCCCTGTGGCTTCCATTACCCAGCAGGCCTGTTTGCTCTAGAACAAGGCCAGAGGCAAGGAACAGGATACACCAGAGAAAATAAAGATCAGTGTGATGGATGACTCCTCTCCCAACTGTTAGCAGCTGCTTATTAAGTGCAATGCTAATGGCTTTGGAGAGCAACCGCGGCACAGATACGGCGTCCAGTCCCCACAGGGCCCCTTGCTGTGCCGACCTCTGCCCCAGAGTGGTCCTGTGACCTGCAGACGGCCGTTTCCCAGGGGGGCTGGGAATGCACCGTGGGGGACCCATGCAGCCTGTGGGAGGAGCGTGCTGCAGGCTCAGCTGCAGGGCAGAGGACTGAGCTTGGCTCCTCCCGGGAACCTTACAACGGCTCTGCCCCCAAAAGCAGCTGGCTGAAGTTTAAAGCCTTCATAATTTGTGTAATCAGTTTATTTATGAAAATGGTGCCAGGAAGATGGAGCCAAAACTGTGATAGAAGATAATGCTTTTCTATGGAGAAAAAACAGCCCTTAATGTCCTGAGTACCTGCCAAACACTCACTTTTGAAATTGACCTCTGCGGCCCGTACCGACTCTTTTATGTACCCTAAAATGATTAAGAATCACCGTAATGATTTATGTGCTTTGGTGCCTGTTTCCTCAGGCAGGGGGCGGGCATGTATAAAGAGTTTCACAAAGGTGTTAAATTAAATTAAAAATAAAACAGCATTGCTTCATTTGGAGGGTGGGATGTTCAAGGTAATGTTCAAGATAATGCATTCGTGCTTTTCCCGACGTGATCCCAGCACTCTGACTGTTTCCCTGGGAATGTAACCTGCAACTGTGACATTGTGGGATGGAAGAAGGAGTGTGGGTGGGAAGGGTCCTTGGATGGAGTAGAAAGTGGGATTAGGGTTCGAGGAAGCACAGTGGTGAGGACACTGGTGCTGATGTGACCTGAGGGCATCTTATAAATCCTGCTCCCAAGGCTGGAGGATTTGCTGCTGGGTCTGCCTTCCCGGGGGGGGGGGGGGGGGGGGGCCTGTGCCCCTGGCATTTCCTCCGCCTCTCAGATCTGCCGTTCGTCCCTGTGCCAGATGCTCCCGTCGCACTGCACCCCAAGTCTGAGATGTGGGTGAAGTCAGGGGTTTGTTGGATACCTGGAAACCAGTAGCTGATCATTATCGGCACTGACCCAAGTCAACGCCTGCATTGGAAGCCCGTTGACAAGAAAGCAGCTGGTCTGTCAGAGACACAGACACCGGCCAAGGCCTCACATACTGCGCTTCCCATCAGTCCCTGGTGCAGTGCGGCCATCGCCATCCCCTGGGGCTCCTCCCTGCAAGTGGAGGTCTGGGTCTGGCTAAGTGGGCCATGGTCAGTGCGGGGCAGCTGCGTAAGGAATGTTGATGAACTGGGACTCTAGGGCAGGCTTAGAGTGGGGTAGGAACTCAATACCATTGAGTCTCCCCTAGTCCACTCAGAAGAGACCAGCAGGCAGGG